TATAAATATATAACATATTATGTATTATCTAACTTTTGAATAGCTGTCATGGGGGGTGCTGTTGTCACGTCGTTCTTCTTTTGAAAAAAAAGAAAGAAATACAGGACAAATCTATCTCGATATGCTCCAAAACTGGCTCTTCGCTTCACCGCAGGCAGATACGCGTGACTTCATTTTTTTTTCTCAATAAGATGGAGTACCGCCCCTTCGGCATCCGGTGGTTTGAAGTTTTTTAAATGAAAAATTGCCCTAGCGATGGATAGTAAGTCGGAAAGAGTCCCAAGACCTTGCTATCTGTGCTTGGCCTGCCAGATCCCTAGACATCACCGGGTATGCGGGCGGTTGGCGGGTGCTCTGGTGTGGTCTGCTCCTTCTTTCCTATCAAATATTTATCATCCTTATCTTCCCTTCTTCTTTTTTATGTTTGTTTCTCTCTTGTAACACCTCTAATCTTCTGGCGCTCATATGACCATAGTATGCAGTTGCGAGCGCCGTAAAACCTTTTCTAAACATCACCGTGTATAACTTTTTTTCTTGTGTGGATATGTAAAATACAGTAGGCCTATAACACGGACAGTTCGAATTGGTCGGGACCGGCCTCGGTAGTTCCCGGGATCCGTAGTTTGAGGGATTCTTACAATGACAAAGATAAAGAAGAGAAAAAAAACGGGACCGCAGGCACAATTCGACGGATTCATATTTCGAGTCTTCTGTGTTGGACCTATCCGTGTTATACTGTAGCGCATTTATGTTCCACTGCTACCCACTAACCTCAGTGGGTGGTTGGCGGGTGCTCTGGTGTGGTTTGCTTCTTCCTGCCTATCAAACATCTATCGTCTTTATCTCCCCTCCTTCTTTTTTGTGTTTGTTACTCTCTTGTAACACCACTAATCTTGGGCACTTAAATGGCCTTATTGTGTTGCAAGTGCCGTAAAACATTTACTAAAACTAAAACTGTCTTGTAAAACATCCACCCTTCGGCACCTATGTGACTTTATTGTGTTGCAAGTGCCGTAAAACTCTTACTAACTAAAACTAAACCACAAACCTCGATGACCTTAAACATCGAATAACAACAGCAATCAGCTCTGTTGACCGTGATAATTATGCTGAAACGCGTCTGGGAGGAATTCTCTTATCGCATTGATGTTGTCCGTGCTGCATGTGGAGACCACTTTGAACACTTAGTAAGACAGAAAATAAAAGTTGATAGTGAGTACAATACAGTACTTGTGACTGAGCTTAATTAAGTTTTCTATCTATTGCTTTACCTTATTAAAATATTGAGTACGGTCATGAAATCGATTCATTCTTTTTTAATCACCTTGTATAAGTATGTACGTATGTAATGTATGTAATGTATGTATGTGTATATATATGTGTGTGTATATATATATA